TCGCTTCGCATCCAGCTTTCGCCATGTTTTCCCCATGGCTATGTTACCACACGTGCCGATGGCGTTCGTCATCGTACAGTTATTTCGACAACGGACCATAGTGTCTTATATTCCTCTGAACATAACAAATTCGCCTTACGGCTCAGGTTTTAACGTAATTTTCCGCACTTTTGAAGCAATGATTCTGCCTATGACTAATAATGCCACAAAATTTCCATTGTCATCATATTGTTGCGTGGAAAATAACAGTAGTCAGTCCGCAGACACAACACAGCTCACAGTTCCAAAATCATGTAATATGTACCATAAAAGTTATTTGTGAGAAGAGAAAGTTAATGACAAAGTAATACGTCACTTGCAAAATTTCCGCAAAAGCTTCTACAGCTTTACGGTTACTTCTAAATTCAAGTTAGGTGGTTAGTGAAAGGAGGTTTGTTACGTGAAATGAAGCGAGGACTGCATTTTTCTGCTTTATTTCTTTTTTTTTTCAGATGGCGATTATCAATAGGGACACGCGCCGCCACCAGGAGATGACGTCACTACTAACGCCCTAAATCTAACACACCAATGATGACAAGGTGCCTTTGACAAAGATAGGCTCACCTATAGAAGAAATGTCGGCAAGTCTGTCTGAGGCACTTCCACTGTTCACCCTGAATATTCCACTCAATTCAAGTAGCTTTCTGTTACTTAACCACCGCTGTAATATCTATGACATCTGGGGAAGCTTTTGACGCTGCCACATTTTTCGTTGTTTGCAGGAACGCCTGCCTACCAGTAGCTCAAAGCAGTTGTGCTCAATGCTCGCCTTCCGAATGACTTTTCACGGTTGCCTTTCTGAGGTCCAAACGCCATCTTTGAAGTTGCTTCATGCACCCCTGATGCGCTTGGCACCATGTCGTTGGCATACACGTCCCGAACCATAATGGCCAGGTAAAGTTTACCTATTAGGTGTAGTCTTGTGCACAGCAGGTTACGTTTTTTCACTGGTTATTGTCCTATTAAGGAAGTGAACTAGCTCTGTTGCACTACAACGAGATAACAAAGAAAGTACGAGCAGCTGATGAGAGGAACCCCCTTTTCTGGCGGAAGCTTCTTACTTAAAAGGGTCTTGAATTGTTCGCATTTTGTTTGTTTTTGGGCGCTCATGCGATTACAATAATTTCTAATCTCACACTCATCATGTCTTAATTTTCTTTCAACATAACAATAAGGCCTTTTGGCTCAGGTTTGAACGTATCTTCAGCACCTTTGAATCGATAATTTCGCTTATGACTAATTATGCCATGAAAGTTCTATTGCCATCATATGCACCATAAAAGTTCTTTGCGAGAAGGCAAAGTGAATGTCAAAGTAAAGCTTCATTTTCCGCGAAAGCTTTGTTGTCGCATATCATTGTATTATATCTGCATGCGCGTAACGTTCTTTGTACATAATTATCTCAATATTCTGGTGTGTAGTTCCCGAGTCGTCCAGAACTCATCGGTAAAGCTTCTCTAGTGAAAATTAGTGCGTGTTATTCAGCAAATGTAGTGTACAACATGCCATGTTTGGTTGGTGCGGTGCACTGATAATGGTGTAATGAGCAGCATTTTATTGTTGCACGTTATCTAACGGCGTGTCTTCTTATCGGAGGAGCTGCGCTGTTTTAGCCATATCGGAGAGGCCTCAAACACCACATCTAAAGATTCTTTCCTCGTTAGTCAAACATTTTTCACATTTTTTTTTCTCAACAAATAGAGAAAAGTTCATCACAAATCAATATCTGCTCTTTTAAAACCATTTCTCACTGTACTCCAAACAGATCAGAGAAAAAAAACATACGCGCGAGTTGAGCGCAATTTCGGTCTACTGAAGTCATCCTTAGCCCGGCTCCATTAAGATTCTGTATATTGAAAGCAGAGATAACTGTTTGGCGTACAATACATGAACCGGCTTCGATGTGCCTATGAACCACCCTAAAATGATTGTTTATTTCAGACTGTGTCCAAGGCATCTTTGAGAAGGCGCCGGACGGATGTAAGAGACGAAGCGACTTCTAAATGAGCAGCTGCCAGCCCTCACCAAGGCCGCCACCGATATGTCAACATGGTATTTGCACTCCAGCATCAAGCGGCGCAAGGCGATCATGTCCACTGAGCGGAAGTCCCTGGGTGCATTGTGTGCTTTGATGATCGGTGTACCAGAGCTCTGGCATGAACTTCCCTGCAGGTAACCAGTTCCTCTCTCTTCCAACAGTTGTGTGCCAGAGGTTACCGCTTGTTTTTTTTGATAATGTGCCAAAATGTATGAGTACTCGCTTAGTGTTCGGTCATCCTCGTTTTCCAGCTGTTCGCAAGAAGATATTTGCCCATCAGCCCCCAGAATCGCGGGTTTTCTCACCCGAGGCAAGTATTGTTTGCAGCCACCGCCTGAGCACTTGTCCTGGCTAAGGGCCTTCTCGGAGGCAAAAAGACGTATGAGTAAGAATCGAAATGAGCGCACGCCTGAAAAACTGCAGAAGCGATAGGCATCTGCACAGTTATGACGGAGAGTAGTACGCGCAGGCACTGCTACCGTGGGCCCGTGAAGAGGTCGTCCTGCCAGTAGACGTGCCACCGAGACGAGACCGGCAGGATCCGGACTCGGGAGACCAGATAATGTGGCCAATTTGGTTCGCATCTCCAAGAAGGTCATCTCGCCTGCCACACATCGGTTACAGAAGACGAGGATCTGTCCACTTAAGACTGTCTCGAGAACGTCCTGAACTTGGGCTGAAGACCTGCACTGGTAGGAATGAAGCTGCTTGGGTTTCGGCAACCACGGACAGACGTCACAGATGTTCCTGCCACAAGCCCCTTTCGAAGCAAGCGGCAGAAGACACTCCTCAACAGCCACTTCGGCTCATAGCACTGGGTATCGTCGAACCCGTAAGGCTCACTCTTTAACAGCTCTGCAATGTCGGTGACCACGTAGGGCAAAGACGACGAGAAGTGGACTTCCTCAGGGACGGCGACCTTATTCAGTCATGTCAAAAAGGGAAAACGTGATGCAGCAGGATTGATCCAGGAGTTCTCGTTGCTTGAAGTATGACTGTTTTTGGATTGCAAGGTCAGGTCTATTGTACCAAGCTTAGACACTATTAATGAGCAAGGAATAAATGAGTTGCATTTTAGTTTTTATTTTATTTTGCCAGACTGTATTTCGGAGCAAAAGCCTCCGTCAGGCTATGTAGCCTTTTGCTTTTGCTTCGTTTTTTTCTGTTGCACGTACAGAAAATAAATAAATCTCAAATCTCAATCTCAAAATGTTTAAATACGTAGCTTTAGTACACTTCTGTTGGTTTTTTCAGCCTCATTTTTACGTTCTGTCTGATTCTTTATTGCAGTGCCTTTTTTCTAAATTGTCGTCTTTTCAAGCGTGTCTTGTCTCACTCCTTCACCTTCAACACCCGAGGAAGAGAATGGCACAGATTGATTCACGACAGGCTCGCCTATTCTCGAGGATTCGGATGGCTGCGGTCGAAGGACTGAGACAATACACGTCTAACGGCACAACATATTCATAAAGGAAAAACACATGGCACTCAAGAACGGAACGGGAAATAGAACTAAGCTTGAAAAGAATAAACAGAAAAGTACTAACCCTATACGTGTCGAAATAAAACGGCCTCAGTGCAATCCTTGCGTATTACTGATGCGTACGCTCCGTTTATTAGGCCTGCCCATTTAGCCCCCTAAACATCCAGTCTTACCAAAAGAAGCAAGGAAAAGGGCGGGATCCTGTCCCGCTGTGTCACTTTGATTGATCTGGACGTGTTCGAAGAACAGTCGCCGTCCCCGAGGCAGTCTAATAGTCGCCACTGTTGGTTATCGCCCGACGTGGTCAGTGACATTTGAAAGGTCTTGGTCTTGAGTGGATATCCGATAACCTTCACACTTCGTCACACTGTGTTCGCGACTTGCTTGCCCGGCATCGCCCTCTGTGCCGCTGCCGAGTAGGCGTACACTGGCGTCGTCGCGGGGCGTGATCATTGACTAGCCGGAGACCTTAGGCATTGGGCCTGGTGGTGTAAGACGATACCGGTTGTTAAAGGCGATGTGGCTGTTGAAGGCGATGTGGCGACGAGGCTGTCTTCGACAGCTTGCCTCGAAATGGGCTTGCCCCATCGATGAAAGCTGTGCGTGGTTGCTGCTCTTATTGGAGTCATTGGAAGTGGTCGAGCTCACCGGCTTCTTTTGTGAATGCCCCCGTTACAGTCGTCAGTCCAAGTTCTTGGGTTCCGTCGACAGACGTGTGTGCTGGCGAGACAACGTTCTTAGCAAGCCCATGTCAATAATACCTGCACATCATTGTTTTAATTTTGTTCCACGGTTCGGTTACGCGCCTCTCGCTTCTGTAATCATCTAAATATGCGCCCTTGATGATTCACTCTTCTACGTCATCTTCTTGCCGTCAAGAAACGTTACTCATGACAAGTGCTCAGATGGTGGCTGTAAGCCCTACTTCTGAGAAAAAATTGTAAAACAAAAAGGTATCTTTTCGTCCCACAACAGTAATAATCCCACTTACTTGCGTGGTCTTCTTGAAAACGTGAAGTCGGCCACTTTTCTATCAAGAAAGCTGCGTCACACCAATAACGCGCAAGTCGTTCGCAATGGTGCAAAGAAAGGAATGCGAAATGACTACTATTGTACTGAAACAAAATGACGCCCTTTTTTCTCGTATCTTTTTGAGGCATTGCTATATGTACTGAGAAAGCCACTTACGTTACGGCGGAAGTGCAGAAATCGTCGTTGCAACAATACCAGAATGGCCGCATCGTAAACGAGTATGCATACTGTTTGGCACTATATACAAAATAGAGGTAAGCGGTACTC